CAGCACCGTCGCGCCGTTGTCCTGCGTGTCGCGTGCGACCTTCCGTATGCGCGCTCCTCGTTTGAACTCAGACGCCCCCCCTCCCCCTCCCCCTCACGGGGTGGGGATAGGGGTGGGGGGTGGGGGTGAGTGTGCAGGTTACGGGGTCGCGGTTTCTCACCGGTACGGTGCTCTTTGCGACCCAACTAGCATGGCAGAGCTCTCAAGTTGCAAGGGTTTGAGATGATCGCAGCGCCAGTGAGGTGCAGCAGAAGCCCCCCCCCCCCTTTACCACCACCACCACCACCACCCACTCACTCACTAAGGTGGGGCAGATGCCACGTGACGGATGGATGTGCGCATGTGTTTGTGTGTATCCTGTGTAAAGTGACGAAATTCGTTATATTCGTTGCAAGCGAGCGCAGTAGAGCGATTTGCGATGCATCTGGAGCCCCCGTCCGTCCGCCCCGCGCTTTACGTAATTTAGGTCATGCGGACGGTCTAATGAATTCTCTGCAGACACACACACACACACACACACACGTGCAGGACCCAGGCCGACTCCCACTTACATGGACTGCAAAAATAATGATTTATTAATTAATTTGCCAGGCGTGGATACCCCGCGCTACCACGCTCCCCCGGCGAGCGCGGCGGGGGGTATGGCTGTCCGTCTGATGAGGTGTTTGTTGTGTCTGTGTTGCAGGATGACTTGAGCTACTCCATGGCGGGCTCCATGGCAGGCTCCATGGCGGGGTCCCTGGCGGGCTCGGTGAGCTCGGTGTCCGGGCTGTCGGGCTCGGTGGGCTCCGTGTCGGGCAACGTCTCCTCGCTCGGCGGCAACTCGATGATGTCCGGCTCCATGTCCGGGTCCAGGGCCTCGTTCACCGTCACGCGCCACCGCAAGGTGGACCTCGCCCAGGCCAGGATAGGTGAGCGCTCTCCCACACCGGCGCGCCGGTCGCGTTCGCCTCCCCGACGTTGGCAGTCCTGCGCGCCAGCGCGTCGGCCTCCGTCCGCCGCCCCTCCCGCGCACGAGATCTCCACCGCACCGCGCCGCGCCCGCACTGCTGCTCGGTCAGTCTCCGGCATGCCATGCCATGTGCGGCTATGCTGCACATCCACACCCCTCTGCGACGGCTGAGGCGGCTGCTTTTGGTGCTCTTGGTTCCGGCGTGTCGCGGCGGTGGCGGAGGACGTTGCCGGCCGCCGCCCAGGAAGCGAACTCAAAGTCCTGGTAATGGAAGACAACCCCGGCTGTGGTGGCGCCCCCGGGCCCCAGGCCGCCCGCTCGGGTCCCACACCGCCATGGGGCGCCATTCGCTGCGCCCGGATGAATGGCGGGCCCCGCGCGGTGCGGTCATTGTTCACCCCGCCGATGTTTGTTTACTGTTTACGCAAGTGGCCGGGCCGCTGCTGCTGCTGCTGCTGCTGCTGCTGTGGCTCCAGCCCGGGAGAGGGCCGCCGCAGGTGCCGGCCCGGCAGAGGCAGCACCACCCCGCGCCCGCCGCGGGCGATAAGTATCAAAGAGGCCTCCCGTGAGCGCCCTGCCTGCGCCCTGCGGCCCCCCGCCGCGGCCCGCGCCGGCTATTGTGCAGGGGCCGGAGGTGATTACCGACAGGCTAACTAACCATTCGCAAACGAGACGACGACGCCGGTCATCGCGGGAGCCTCGCAGGTTGCACATCGGCGGCGTGGAGTCGATCACTGACCTGACGCTGAGAGACACTTCACTTCAAGCCCACACCGATTTCCCTGATTTTTTTCCACCCCGATTTTTTTCTGTTTTTTTTTTCTTCCTGATTTTTACCTGATTTTCCTGTTGTTTTTTCAAGTTTTAAATGTTTCTTTTCATGATCTGTTCCCTGATTTTTTGAGTAAAGTTCCCCTTGAGTCGCGGACTCACCTGACGCCGGGGCGGGGACTCGCTTGTTTGTTGCAGCGGTGTGCGATGACGGCGGCGCCGAGGACTTGTCGACGGCCTCCACGCGGTCCGCGGCTCACGCTGCCGCTGCGGCGGCGGCGGCTGCGGCCGCGGCGGCGGGCCACTCGGGACGACACTCGTCGCTCAGCGACGCCCCCATCGAGAGCAACGTGCTGCGCAAGGTGGCGTCGCTCACGCTGGACCGGGCCACCCTGGACCAGAAGCTGTCCAAGCCCAAGTTCGTCCCGGAGAAGCTCGACTTTCAGATCTATGAAAAATTCGAAGGTAAGTGAGGCGGGAGCGGGAGAGCTTTGCGGTCATTTGTCTTGGCTGTCTTTGCGCGGGCCAACAACAACGCCTCTGTGTTTTTCATGAATTGGTAATATGGTTGTCAACCACGCGAATGCCGAATGGGAATGGGCATTGCGCAACACGCCCGCAGGAATAGTCTACATATTTGGTCGATAACAACAATGGATTTAGAAAAAGTGGAAAAGAAATTGCCGAAAGGGAATTCCCTAAAACACTCCCGTTATGTAAAGGGTTGGGTTTTTGTTTTTGTTTCGTAGCTGGTCTCCCCTTTGACGCCAACATGTATTTTTAACGTGGCTGATCTTCCCTTCAAACGGCCACACAGCTGATTGCCGCCGTCTCCGACCTTCATTCGCGCCCAACGGGGCCCCGCCGGGCCACTGCGAGGGGGGCATTTAAAACACCATTCGGTGGGTGTGGTCTTTACGTAATTTGCGTGCCCCTCGACGCCTCGCGTCCGTCTCCCCCCGTCTTCCTCGCCGCCACGGTGGCGTCCAGCGGCGGCGGGGTGCCCGCCGGTGCCCACACGGGGCACGCGAACAGAGCGGCACAAAGTGTGAATCACTGGTTTCGTCTCGCGGGCCGGGCAGAGGCAGGAGCAGGCGCCGCCCGCCGCTGGGAGTCAAGGCTGCTGCTGGCCGCTCTGCCTGCCAGTCTAACCGAACCGAACGGGCCGAGCCGAACCGGTGCGATTTTCTTTGGCCCAGCAGCTCCGCGCCGCGGTCTGTTCCGATGTGTTCAGCACCGTCGCGCCGTTGTCCTGCGTGTCGCGTGCGACCTTCCGTATGCGCGCTCCTCGTTTGAACTCAGACGCCCCCCCTCCCCCTCCCCCTCCCCCTCTTCGTGACGCGTGGAGGTTGGAGTCCTCTACTAGGACTCTTCTGGGGTTGCACTGGGGCCTGCTGCTCCTGCTCGGATATGACAGCTGTGAACAGTGCCTGCCTGCGTGGGGGCGGCGGGTGACACGGCCGAGCGATAAGTGCTTGGAGAGTAAGCCGCATCTGTGCGCGGCCGACAGGGGGCGGCGGGCATCTGTTTCTGCGGAATACAAACCGCGCACTGTGACTGGCCGTGACACCCGTGACACCCGTGACAGCAGTCGCTCACCTCCGCCCGCTTTTGCTCTGGATTCTTGCCAAAAGTCCATTCATCCCGCGCTGCCCCTCCCCTCCCCCTCCACCCTCCCCTCCCTCCCGC